GCTTCTTCCCATTGGTTTAATCCTCAAGATTTAATTTCCATTGGTTTGTTTAAAATATTGTCACTATAATTTCGTTTAAAATTCATATTCTTCCATGGTGTTTTCTCTTTTTGTCAGACTCTAGCTGCATACTGAAGTGAAAGTGATTTCAAGGTAGATAAAGGGACCTTGATACCCAGTTTGTTCTAGAAAAAATCCTTATTTTACACTTATTCACCTTTATATAGACATTTAGTTTATAATCTTTTAATTTGTTGTCAGGAAAGATCTTAATTTGTCAAACATATTTACCTGAAGTCCTGCCTCGGCATCAACATTGGTTAAGTTTTAAAGATTTTATACAATAATGAGGTGATAAGATAAAATGCTGACAAAGATATATTTAACTTGTTAACGGATAATATCTTTATCGGTATCTAGTGTTGTATTTCTTTTATGGATGTGGCGTAGCGTAAATATTTCAGTAGTGATTGTTAGTTTTTTGTTGTAAAATATGAGACTTGAGAATTTCAGTACATATGTATCCACTTATGGATAATGTGACCAAAATGATAAGTTAATGATACGTTCTAAGAATAAGCGGTTTTATATCAAAATTTCTACAGTTGGAGTTAAATCAAAGTGAATTTTAATTTTGAGAAATAAATCTCTTAAACATAAATACAAAAATAACTTCAACAACAGCTGACATTTTTCATCTTACATTCAATTAAATAAAATATTTTCTAGAACCATGCAAACTCTGATATTTCACTGGTCTGTCATACCTTCCATTCTATGAAATGTTCGTTGGTCGTGTAAAAGCTGTACTGTTGTCAAAGTATCAAGGTAGTAGGTCCGTTTCAAACTGGCAGTTAGAAACAAATACAGGTCCCCCGGAAACCACTATTTAAATATTTCCCCTCTCTCATAAGATAACTAGTTTAGCCCTTTATATATAGATATGTCATTGTTTGTCCGTCTGTCGGTGTTTCCGTACTTACATAAGAATACATTTGCGACTACAGAAACAACAGGTAACTGAATATTTTGTTCAATATCATTTATTTCGTTTACTGTTATGTGAATTTTTTTTATGTGGCTACAATGGATTGGTCAAACATTCAAGGGACTCCACTGACTTAAATGACATGAAAGAAATGGAAATATCTTTTCAAGATTTTTGTATGAAATGGTGATGGTATGGACCAATTATTTGCTAGCAAATTTGCAGATCATACACTCTACTCGTTTTTCCTGAAAAATCACGTTTAGTTTGACACGCAAATCTCGATAAGAATCACATTAAAACTCATTTTTGAATATAACTCTTTTTATCCATTACAATTTGTTTCCATTTAAAGTGTTTGTATTGATATTTGTAGATTTTCAATTTTTGATTTTAGGCCTTTGGACCTCAGTGGAGTTTCTTTAAGTACTGTTACGTTTAAAAAAGTTTGTCTGTTCGTCTGTCCGGCGTCTGTCTCGAAATTGTTCGTCACGGAATTGAATGTAACACAAAACTTTGAACCTGAAATCACACATGTGGTTTTCATCTCAACGAGAAGGAGTGCTGTCTAAGAATCTTAAAGAATTTGCAAAATTTTGAATTATACACTTTTGCATTTTTTCTATTTTTAAGCCCCCCCCCCCCTTCGAAAAAAGGGGTATATTGTTTTAATTATGTTGGTCGGTCTGTTTGTCTGTCGGTCGATCAGTCTGTCCGTCTGTAGACCACATGGTTTCCGCTGATTATCTTAAAAACTATTTACCACAAACTCTTCATATTTCATACACTGATTGATCATATGCAGTTGATGACCTCTAATGATTTTGGAATAACTATGTCAGAGGTCAAGCTCACAGTGGCCTTTAATGTCAGAATGGTTTACCACAAAGTCTTTATATTTCACATACTGATTGATCATAACAAGTAGATGACATCTCTTGAGTTTGGTGTCATAAGGTCAAAGGTCAAGGTCACAGGGGCCTAATATGTAAGAATGGTTTCCGCTCATTATCTTGAAAGCTATGTATCACAAAGTCTTCATATTTAAAATATTGATTGATCATATTTAGTAGATGACCCCTATTGAATATGGAATCATTTCTTCAAAGTACAAGGTCACAAGGTTAAAGGTCAAGGGCACACTGGCCTTGAATGTTAGATTTTGTTTTCCGCTCATTATCTGGATAGCTTTTATTTAAAAGTATTCATGTTTCACATATAACTTGTTCATATGAAGTAGATGAATTCGGTTAACTTTGGTAAATAGGTCAAAGTCACAGGGTCCTTGAATTTTAGAATGGTTTCCGCTAATTATCCTGAAAGATATTTATCACAAAGTATTCATATTTTAAGTCTCTATTAGTCATAAATAGTGGATGACTACTATTGATTTTGGGATAATTAGGTCAAAGGTCAAAGTTACAGGTGCCTTAAATGTCAGAATAGTTTTCGCTCTTTACCTTGAAAACGTTTTATCACAAAGTCTTCATATTTCACACATTGATTGGTCATAATGGGGTCACTTGTTTAAAGGTCAATGTCTATATATATATATATCACAAATTGATTGATTGATTGTAACTAGTTGGTCATTATTAACACTTCTATGTACCCATTTTTGGCGCAAGTTTCTATAACAAAATTACCAAAAGTATGAGTCAAGGGCTAGAAAGGGCGCATATGTGTCGTCTGACATTTCTTGTTGTATTTGGCGTAAATAAAATAACATAGCATGTATTAATTGAAACTGATAGATCAAGTGTGGGCACAAGTATATTAGAGTGACTCCGTTTTGCATACCATTGGAGTCATTGTCCTATTAGATTTTGTCATACTAAATTTTAGTTTAGGGTATAATATAAAGTATTTGACTTATCAATTTGGAATATTTTAGCGGTATTTATCTCATTTATGAGAACACACTGTTTTGAAATCATAACTCTCTTTTATATTGTTTTGGATTTTTTACCAATTTTTCATATTTACCTTTTTATAATCTAATGGAAGAAGTTTAAGAGATATTAACTTGGAACTTCATACATTGATGGATCTCATAAAGAATATTACTGACTCTTTAAAATAATGTATTTGATGTTCAGTAAATAGCGAAAACAGATGTTTGTTTTTTCTACATATATCTTTATCAACTACGAATATAATTAAGATATCAACTCTTTCGACATATTTTTTAAGTAAATTTATGCAGAAAACACCAGCTGCGAGTATGGTCGAAAACAAGACACTATTAAGTTAATTGCACAATTTAAAAGCAGACATTTTACGTACGAAAAGCTAAATATATATTCACTATGTACTGATATTACACATATTCTATCCACGAATTACGTATATGAACAACGTTCAGTAAGTAAGTCTAGAATTTATAAAGTTTTGCTTAAATTTCTGAATATGCTGAAACAGAATTTTAAATTGATATTTTGGATTTATATATTTACACTAAAACTGATAGAGAAATATTGAATCCTATCTTGAATCATTTTTAAACATTAGAACTAAATGATATAGTTTTTGTATGTACCAGTTTGGTTATACCGCCTCCGTGGCCGAAGGGTTAGAGTCGATGACTTCTAATCTAGTTACCTTTCTGGCGTGGGTTCGATCCCCGGGAGATGCTTTGTTAGTTTAGCCCGGGCGAAGGTTGTCTAGTACTGGTGTAACTCTCCAGGAACGATGGATAGGAAACTATCCGCCTATATGACTGAAATACTGTTGGGAAAAGGCGTAAAAACAAACAAACAAACCAATTTGGTTACATTATCTTTTTGCTGAATTACCCGTTTCTTACCAAACTAGGAAATCATGCCTCCTAATCGTGACGACTTGAGAGTGATTACTGAACTACAGTTTTAATTGTTGAATTAGAAAAAATACATCTTTTAAATGTGCTATTTATGGGTTTGATATATAAATAATTTCCATTTTAATTGCCTGTATGTTTATTATTTGCACAGTACCATTGTAAACAATTTGTTGCGAAAAAGATGCCCTGTATTCTGTTTTAATTTTGCCGTCGTAAATGAATTATTTATAATTTCTCTGTTACATGTTTTGACTTATAAAGTATTTATGCATTTATCCATTTCAAACGACAACAGATGTTTGTTGCTTTCTCATGAACTTTATTGATTTTTTTTAATATTAGTTCGTTGGAAAGGAATGAAATGTCTTTCTAAAATATTATAAGTTTTCGTTGTTAAATGACCAGGACACAAAAGAAAAAAGTTAATTATGTGAATTACTTTAGAAATCTTGAAGTTGAAATAATACATTGTGAATTGTTTTTACCGGTAAATAAAACAAATAACAGTAATGTATTTAAACATTGTAGCAATATTCCAACTGCGAAACAAGAAAATTAGCGAAAGACAGGCGAGAATGTCTGGCAGACTGGCACAATACTTATAATATCTTAAATGAAATGAATGTATTGTCAATTAAAATATTTATATTATAAAAATAGATATATCATTAAAAAGATATCATTATGTATTAATTTTCATCAGCAAGTAAATTCGTCCTTAAATTACATTGATATAACGATAGTTTCTGGCTTTTTACAAATACACGATTCAATCGTTTATTGAAATATTTAGCCTTGTTGCAGACAGTTTTAATAGACTAAAGTGTATTATTGTTTTCTCTCTGTCATTTCAAAATTCGAAATCTTATTTTAAAACCTGATTTTAGTTTGTATTATCAGCATAATCGTAAGGAAATCTGTCCAATTAATATATTTTATTTGACAAATGGACTTAAGAAAGTATCTTTTCATTGCATTTCTTGGTTTAAAAAAATGTGAAAATAATCATTACGACTTTGTTAGCATGGAAATTTCATAAATCAACCGCACGTAAAGTTTAAAGACGTTTACAGGATAGTTTTTACTTTAAAATTTGTGATTAGATGTGCAAATCATTACGTGTTGACAAGCAGCATTATTTAAGCAAGCTGCTGCAACTTGTCTGTCTTATTGACTTGGAAATGTCCAGTTTTGTAATTGGCTCTCAAATATGGAAAGAAAATTTGGAGGGAATTTACAAGGAGATGTTTTTGCTGGCACTGAAGACGAAAGGTTTTTGTACCAACATAAAGAGTTTTATAACTTTTATCACACCGATGAATTTCGAAGAAATTGTCCTATCTTTGGAGAATTTGAGAATTTTTTGCAATCGCAGATTCAAGTATTTCGCAATGAGATATTAAATACTTTAAAGGTAAAGTAAATATATTGAAACATTTGCAAATGTTGTTATGTGATATTTTCAAGGTTTCGATTTCTTACTTCCCGATCATCGATTAATTTATCATTTAACTCTATAAAGTAAACATTAATATATTACAAACATGCAAATTTTATTACTTTTTTGGGGGGACAAGAAATCACTGAGTTAATAAATAAAGAAACTAATCAATTAAAACAATTACTAATTGTAAATTGAAAAAAAAAATAAATGAAATAATGATAATAAAATATAAATGCATAACTTTATAAAAGTTCACAGACAGTTTGTTGTCTGTTTGATTATAAATCATACTCTTGTAAAATATAACATTAACAAGTATTCAATTTTGAAATAAATAATTACCGATTTATATATACTGAAAGCAGCATGCCTCAGATGAGTAAATTAACTCAAACAAAATCCGACCTAAAATATATTAAAAGATAAACAAATATCTAAAATTTTAAAATATGTAATGCAGGACAATACTTGTAGAATAAAGAAGAGTTATAAAGCAAAATATTTCCTCGAGGGAAATTTATTTTACCATCTAGAAGAAGATAACTGATACCTTGGAATTTGTATTTTGGACAGTTATATTAAGAAATTACACTTAAGCATCATACATTTACAAGTATTAAAAAGTAATTTAAATTTATTTTTCAGGTAACAACAGATCAAAGCGAGATGTTTCTTCAAACAGAGGAAGCTGATGCTGCAAGTAAGCTTACTAAAAGAAAGGATCATTACATTCCACCGAGGTCATTTATGATTGCAAGAGATGCATTTCGATGGGATCGGGAAAGACAACGAAAGGAAACACATAATAAAAGTAAAAAGCAGTTCTCTACTTTCATATTTTTATTTTATAATCTTTCTATGTCATGATATGATGGAAATGCCAGGATTTTGTCTTACCTGACTATGTTTCATGAAGCTAAAAGTAATCAAACGTGATAATGTTTGATTTAAATTGTTAAAACAAGCAATCAATTTATAAAATATTTGCTTTTGGTCTTATATAATTATAAAAAATCTTAAAGAATATTGTATTGATGAGAACACATATTATCTAGTTAGCTTCTTAATTATTTAATTTAGTTGAGAAGAAAAGGAGGACGTACATTAATGCCAAAATCACGGAGCTTGGAAATATGCTACCGGACTCTATTGATCGGTAGGTAAATGAATTGTTTTACCCCTTTTTTAGCTTGGTTATACGGTTTCAACAACGCAGTACGCAGTAAATTTCATATGACACATAATGATCTTAACTCTTGGAGGGAGATCTGGTGTCGGCCTGCTGAATTTTCGTACTGATTGTTCTATAGTAAATCATTCACATTTGAGGCTTAATTCTCGATTCCACTGTTCTTGATGAATTATATACTGTCTTCAACTTTAATCATCAACACTATCTTAGTCAAATGAGGCCCAAAATATATTATGTTAGCCATCTACTTGTTTCAAAAATCTTCGTTCTGTTGTAACCCTGATTAAATCCACCATTTTAAAAACTCCTGACTGCTGGTGGATAGTACATCTCTAGTCCTTCTGCCAACAAATGAGTTCCTGGAGAACACAAAAAAAAAACTTTTAACGTCATCCTTTAACACACAAAAACTACACAACGCAATAAATACACTTTAGTTATGACCAATCAAACTACTGAGAGTGCACCTAGACTCTCTTTTCTTTCATGGATTTCACTTTCTTTCCTGTTTTTCATCCAAGATAATCCATATTTTAACCTTTTCAATAAACAAAAGCGACAAATATTCTGACAATGTTTGATGAAGAATACAAATTATAAAACATCACTATCTTTAGAATGTTAACAAGTTCATTCCTTTAATTGACCATGTTGCTTACGTTTTGACACAATATGAGTTTAAAAACTAGATTAAAGTATCATAGTATGATTTTTTTAAACAAAGTTTGATGATGGTCAAACCAAAGTTGATATCCAAAGACTGTAAACAAATAATCGTGCGTCAAACCCGGAGCACAATGTCCAATCCATGGAAAACAACGCAATCCTGTATAAGTCAAGTTTTTGTATGGATTTTAATTAACTGTGTAAAAATTAATAAATGTTTGAAGTAATTTAAGCAATTAAATGTGAAAAGCAAATAAGGGTCGCCATAGCGCTCTGTTTTAAAGAATTTGGAACGATTCTCAAGAGAATATATATAATATAAATTTGAACTGTGGTGTTTGATGTTATTTCCTTTAGTGTAGAGTAAACATAAGCTGTTTTCTTGCGATCTTGTTTCTTTTATTTTCCATTTCCATACAGGACATCATGTAACAAGAAGGGGACTATTTTGAGGGAAGTTGTGGAATACATGAAAAAGTTACAAAGGGATCAAGAACTATTGAAACATTTGGAGAGCAAGATCCAATATCTCGATATCGAGACCCGAAGAATGGCCGAACGATTAGAGGTTAACATTTAAATATTTGTCTCTCATCAATATCGAATTAAAGAACAATTTATTTCTTAACTTTAAACTTACTATTGAATAGATTTTATTTTGCTAAATACTAACAACAAAAAGGTTATCTTTGTTACTTTTTACGAAAACGTAAAACGAAAACTCGAATAAACTTGAATATAAAAATAAACCGAACTGATAAACTGGCATAATGAATAAATCATTTTGTTAACAATTTAAAAAAAAAAATAAAGTTCCCTTCCTGTATAAACTTTCAGTCATCATGCTTTTTAGATTTAAACGGTCTGTTAAGTTATCATTCTAAAAGCAGATGGTATACATTTCAGTTTTTAGAAGTGCAACCAGCTAACAATCTCGCAAAAAATTTTGACGGAAATGAAGACAAACCATCGCAAGCAAAAGCTTTATCGGGTAGTTTTCAGATAAACTCCCAGAATCAAAGTCAAATGCTTTGCAACCAAACAGCAAATTCCATATGCAGTGGATTAACATCAAATTCAACCACTTTGTGTACACAAGCGGATAAGTTGAATTCCGAATGGAATGGCCTATCGGCATTAATAAGAGATGAAGATACGATTTATTATGAATCGACGCCTACATTTGCCGACACACTAAGTAACTATTTCTGAAAATAAAAGACATCAGAAGATGTTGCACCGCCTTTGAAACATAGATAGTTGATATAAGATGTTAGGTATTTTCATACAGATGTTAGGTATTTATTAAACCTTCTGATAATAAGTTATATTTTTTCATGTTTTCATATTGAATATTTTTGCAAAAATGCCCAAATAAATTACTTTATTACTATCATGATAAACTATTGCTTTTGATTATTGTTTCATTAGCCGTTTCACGATTTTATTAAAAGTTTGTATTTTCATTACGAAAATAATTTGTGACCACCATATACAGAAACGAGTAAAACAGAATTCCTAAAGAAAGTCCAGTTGGGCAAAAAATTAAAATGAATGTGGTAAGTATAAGCTACCGTTCATGCCCCTATTTGACATTTAACGTGAACTGGTAAACTTTTGAATTTTGAAACATCCGCAGATCTGTTCATATGGCGGTTATCATGGAATCGTCAATGTGACATGTTTGTGCCATTCAATAAAACGGCATATATAGCTTGCGCTTATGTCCAATAATTCCACCTTTAATATAATAAATTGCAAGCAATTAAACGGCAATATTCAGTATAATTGCAATTAGGGAACACAATAGTTAAAAAGGTTTTCAATGTAATAAAATAGTAATGTGTATTGACACGAAATCCCATGAGATCGTCAAAACGGCAAAATCGAAAATGTTTCAGGCTCAATTTAAATGAGCTCGTTCGTGCATTGTAGTGGTAAATGCAAATATCCGTTTCCGCCACTGGCCTAACTACATTTTGACGAGCTTTAGATGATGACAATATTAAAACTCATTTGATAAAAACTATAATGCCTAAAAACAGAAGTTATTGTACATCTGGTTTTAGCATTAAAACAATTTAGAATCGGTAAAAAACTAAAACAAAGCCATTTCTTTCAACCGGTGACCGGCCAAATCAATGTGTATGGTTGAAATAGCACTTAAAATTTTAATTTGAAATGTTTTTAAAGTATGCAACATGTGTTCCAGCAATAAATAGCAAATTAGGATTGATATGTCATAGGAATTAGCAATACTTAGAGACGATGCGAACGTATTTATCATGTTCTTGTTCAGTAAATTGTCCCAAAGTCACAGCCCTTTAAGATGTATAAAGCTTTATATTTGCTGCAAAATTTTTTCTTTGAATTAAACAAAAATACTTCCAAAATGCTTGTATGAAATAAACATGGTAGATAATTGCCTTAAAAGGGAATGACGCATGCATAAAATCACTGCTAAACGAATGAAACTCTACTTAAAATAGCAAATAATATTTTGTTTCGGAACAATCTATTGAGTTTACGTACAATATTCATCTGTGTTAAATAACAGAGACATTCTATGTTACAACTTTTTCGGGAATCAACCATATGATAATGGAACCAATATAATTTGACTGTTTATCATTTTATAAAAATATTTCATAAGATATAGATTTATAACCCTTTAATGCTTATTTAGCTGTTACTTCTTCTTAATACTGTACCCTTTATCTATGTGTCTGTCCCATCAATTCATTTCGTTGTTGGTCTGTTGGGTTACTCTCCAGTAGTTTTGTGTGGCCTTAAAGTCGATTGGTCTACAATGGGCACAGCTTCCATAAGTATTTGAAAAATTGTTGAAAAATGAAATGCATCATGTGGATATTCTTATAAAATATTTATTGAAAAAAATGGTGATAAAGTTTTCCTTCATTAAGTATAAACATTCAAATATGTTGAATAATGACAATTTGTTCTAGAACAATTTAGCATGTGCTATTTGAATAATTATATGTAATACCGGATCATGTACATGTATATCATTTCAGACATTCCATTATAGACCATTAACTTCAATTAATCTGAGGCTGCGTTCTTCAGACTGCTGGACTTTGCTGTGTCATATTATACTACAAAGAGCTGATATGCAAACAAAAAGCAGAAAAATAAATGTTAGGATTGTAATTGATTAATATATTTCACTAAAGTTTATTCTAGAATGTATCAGAAAAAAGAAACTTGAGTTCATCAAAATTTTTATCTTAACGAGGACCAATACCCAAAACTGTAACTGTCTAGATTCCTTTCTGAATAATCTCCCTTTCATAAATCTATGCTTACATACTTTTGTCTTGAAACATAAATGAAAATAGATTAAAAAGATTTTATTTAGAAAAAGATTTAGTGGTGGGAGTTTTGTTGTCGCATAAAGTACAGCTATTCATTACAAACATTTTAACGAGAATCCATACATTATTTTTCTACAACGAAAGAAACATTAACACCAATGCTTTTCGTGATGAGTCGATTTTGATTTTAAACCACATTGTGCGGAAAAAAAAATTCAATTCCGTACGTTGTTTAGCTAGTTGACGTCATATCAAAATTCATATGACGTGTAAGCATGTGCATATATTGTACATGTTTACTTAACCGCTATCTGTAAACTAGGGGTGAAACGTGTAGCGTGTTCTAATAGACTGTGTCATATATGTAACATTGGGTCACTACATATGGCTGAGCTCGTTGTCAAATCTTTCAATGACTGAATAGTGAGAATATACGATGTTCCAAGAAAATGTATGTCAATTAAAATGATACAATTTTTTTAATATGTAGCCCTAGTACTTTTACCGATATGCTTGCAGAAAAATATTTCACAATTTAACCGCATATTTTCAACAAAATCTTGTCGCATAGAAAATATTTGCAAGCATTACAAGAAATGTAAAAGAGATACAGTGGAAAATTTTGTACCATTGGAAAAACAAATATTTGTCTGGAATATGGCCTATATTTTTAACTCAAACATTGAAAGATATAATGAAAAATAAGCAAAACATTTTAAATACAGGATTCGGTAATTATTGCTTTATTGATACTTCCGATTAGTGCAAGCCACCGAATGTAAGTGCCAACAAAGGTGTTAATACTGTGTTATCATAAATGTTTTGTAAGCGGAAAATCGAAGAATGCTTTAGCATGTAAATTTGATCAAAGATTTCAGAAAACAAGAAGTTGATGAATTTCTTTTGAATTGTTGTTATAAACATTCATCAACTTTGCGTTCCCTAGAAAATGTAAATGAAATCTGCATGGTATAGCATTATTTTTATTAAGGCAAGCTTGATTCTTTAAAATGAAGAATGCGAGAGGTATTTTTGCAGCTGTGGAAGATTTGTTTAGAAGGCACACTGAATGTTTATGAATTACAATTATTTAACAAAATAGAATTTAATATATATTTTAAATACTGTATAGTATCATAAACGGAATTTTTTTTTACACTTCATTTTTTAATGTCTTGAAAGATTATATGCCTGAGAAATGGGCACTTTATTGGAGCATCAGGTTTTTTTATCTACAAAGGAAAAGATCTATGTTAAATATGTTATCGAACTAAATTTGAATAAAATATTTATGATAAAAATTCAATATGGTATCAAAACAAAAGTTTCTTGTCAATTCAATAATCAAATTTTCGATTTATGTTTTAGAAATTACATACAAATATTTCCTCTACATCAGGGGTTTCCCAAAACCGGCATTAAGTATGTTAATCAAACAATTTTATGTCCCAGATTAACATAAAAACGTAAAGTCTCTACAGCTACATGCTTCCAACGACAATATTTCAACAAAATCAAACTTGAGAAAAATGTGTGCCATTTGCGCCATCAGAAAACTCCTTCATTTAGTCATACCGGTTCAAAAGTTTTAGAATCAGTAAAATATCGGTACACTGTTCATTCGGTCATACAACATGTATAATAGTGCATTGTTATATTATAGCTATTATGTACACTGTTTCATGACATGAACTAGTAAAACGGGATTCAGAAAACAAAAATCGACTTAAACAGGATTAAAAACGGAACGGAATGAACCATTGCTCGGTTATTAACGTAAAAATATTGAACTGAAATGCATTATAAAGTACATATAAATACTCCTGTCTTCCATATTTCATACCATAATGGATATTTTGACTCATCCATTTTTATACATTTCACATTTACACACATACAATTGTATTGTAATTTGTAGCAACGACGGATGCACCCAAAAGGAGTACATGAGTGAAGGTTTTTGAATGTTTGGTTTGTTTTTACAAACATCGACACATTAACATGAATTGATCCATGACTGAAAGTCTGTCATAGAACACATAATATGTTTATAGTGATTCGTATTATATCTGGCAACAAACAGCAAAAAATATATATGGAAGTTGTTGATAGGTGTGAAGTTTTACTGGAGGTAGTAAACCTGTGTAGAACCAAGAACATTTTGTAAGCTAGCTGGATAGGTTCTTTACTTCTTTCGTCATTCCGTTCATCAAAAGCAACATAAAAAATGCGATAATAAAATCTTTTACTCAAGATGTTAACATATAAATGTACAAACATTTATAGAAAACTAAAATACATCTTGCATTAAAATCATCTGCATAGTAAAAACAACTAATTACTCACACTAATAACAATAAGAATATAAGGAAACTATACAACCACAAACAAGTATAAAATCATACATGGACATATATCTATTCTTCATTCATCTAATGAGATTATTACTTATAAATAAATTGTGTAGGGGAAGCAATGATTGCGGTTCAGTGAATAAAAATAAAACATATACTTTCTTATCAATTATATCGTAACTTATAAAGCATTGTATAATTAACAACATTTTTGTTATAAGGTTTTGATATTGTATGTGTTTTATTTACCCTAACACTACTCATTAATATACACAGACACAAGGGTCAGTACAATCAAATCTTCTGTCATTACATTTGTAATTGAATAATTTTTCATCTTTTTACTTTCTAACACAAAGAAAGCCATTTAACTGATAAATGGAAGCTATAACATGATTGGATTTCATTAACAATGACATATGACAGTGTCATACTTAATGAAATGCATATTTTAATATAGAATCAGTAATGTTAAGACTGTGCTTGATTTAAACATTAAACTACTTTACTTGAATTCATGAAATCTTAACAAAAACAAGAGCCACTACCAATTGTCATTACTGTTTAGTTTCCTTTCTGAATAATCTCCCTTTCATAGATTAATGCTTAAATACTTTCGTCTTGAAATATTAATGTAGTTATTTAAATA